TGATTAATTTTGATAATTATGCTTTTTAAAAGAAAATTTTATGAGTATTTAGATTTAAAGATATACTGTACTTTTGGGGGAAATTGTCAATATATTGTAACTTAAAGATCTCTATTGAAAAGAGATTGAGACATAAGTATTTTTGAAAACGGAGAACCATTTTGGAAATGTGATGTTCGCTGTTTTTATCTGGGATTTAATTAAATTTGCTTGTACAGCATAGCTCGTTAGACATCTTCTCCATGTGGATAGATCTCAAGCCAGAATAGCTCATTGTTTACAGTGCTGTGTTGCTCTTTCAGCAAAAGTTGGGCCATTGTGATATTTATCTGAATTCAAAGAAGGCTAATTAAAAGAGCTGCTGACAGTTGTTGTGATCTGACGTTGACTGGAGCTTGATGGTCATTATGGGAAAATAATGAACCAAGCCTGAAAATGTAGCAGCTGCCAACTTGGGATAGAAGAATAGTTATTGCTACCCAATTTAAAGATCTATTGACTGCTTCTCTTTTTTCTCTATAGATCTGCAGAAATGTAATACTATCTAATGTTGCGTTTTGTCACTACAGGTCTTGTAGAAATATGCTACAATTTTCTTCTTTAAAATTTTAACTTATTCAATTGTTAGCTTTCAGAATTTATTTTTTCTGATTGGAAACTTACTTTTTTTTCCCAGGAGAAAGATTTGATCAACAATTATAATTGCATGTTACTGTGTTTATATATTTTGATATAATGGAAATATTCGTCTGGCTACTTTTTTCTCTGTAGATAATTCCAGCACTGTTTTAGAGTATATAAATACTCTATATTTATATTTAGGAATATAAATGTGTCCCAGCTAATTGCAATAACTAGTGACTTTTTTAATGACATGACAACATATTTCCACAGTGTTAGTACAAACTCTGAAGATATCTTTTTCCTTTAAGGTTTTGGGTATAATAGTGAAGTGAGAAATATTATAATCTGCAACCCTGCTTGTCATTACTGAAAAACTGCTATGGTGTTCATTAAAAATACATCATCACTTTGTCATGTTTTCCCATGTCCCATTAGCAAGACCATAGTAAAGGAAATAGGTAGAAAGAGACTATAATCATTTCTTAGAAGAACTTTAGACTTAAAAATTTATCCTAGAAATGTAAAAATCCCACTGTACCATCATCATATTTATGCCTGCAGCACTTACTGCAGGTATGTAACATTTATTTCAGCTGCCATTAAAGGTAGCACACATTATATGTAATGTAAAAAGCATGTTTGTGCATACTACATAATACAACCAAATTAGAAATCTTGCTGAGAAGAAGTGATCTCAAATGTGTCCCAAAAAGCCAAACTTTTCTCTAAGAAATAATGATGAAAAATTATTCATTTAAGAGGCTTTCTGTTCCAGGGGAAAATTAACTTTGATTTTATTGTTGGGAGAGCCATCATTTTTGTATTTGTGTAAAAAATAAATTTGCATATACCCAGATGAGAAGGAGCATAAGCTGCTGGGTTTTTTTCTGTGTGAAACCACCATATATTAACAAGAGGTTATGTTGTGCTACTTTATATTAAACCAAATCACCTCTGAAACATGTGTAGCACCATTCATCTGTGTCACCAAAACCCAAGAGAGTGGCTGATATCGACTTTGAAACCGAAACAGTGATCACTTACAAATCAAACATGGCATGCTCTAAACCAATTGTGCACGGCAATCTTTTCTGAGAAAAGACAACTAATTGAACATGATAAAGTGTAAAGTTAATTAACACTCTTAAATTTGTTGATTACTTTTCACAGGATTATATTGTTCTTTTGGGTAGCAGCTTTCTGTCCCAGCTGTCACCTTTTTAGCTGAATGTCTTTGGTGAACAATAGAGACACCATAACAAGTCGTAAATGGTCCCTGTGACAGCAGACCCTATGAGGCTGCATCTGTAGAAAATGATTAAAACAATTGCATTTTCAAGGTAGTACACCCAGCAGCCTGGTCCCCTTAGCCTCTCCTTTATCTCATTTTAGGATAGACTGTTTAAAACATTTAACCATATATTAGTACATGTTAGTACACTTAATGATTTAATGGAAGAATGAAAAACCTTTAAATCATGTTCTGTAGCATGCTTCTTTTCAGCACAAAATGAAAGGCATCACACATTTAAATCTAAAAAAACCTTATGGACATATAGTAATGTGTAATGAAGGATTAGATCTGGACCATATTACATATTAATTCCTCAAGCATAATTCTAAATATCTCATGTTTCATTGTTGATTTCCTTGTGCAAAATGTTTGGATAAGTAATGGGATTATTGCAGTTTCACTTAGAAAGGAGTAAGTTGTTATTTATAAACAGTAATGTCATACTAATTTTAATAAACTGTTTACAAATGTGTTATAACAATCATATGCTTTTTTTGTTTCCACAACCATAGCAAAGAGAACTACTTTAACTTTCTTTTTTATAAGATTGGAAAGAATTAAAATTTATCTCAATTTCTTGATTTTTCCTATAACAAATATATGGTCAAAACTAGACTAAACATTAAGTTTGTAATCCATTTCAAAAGAGGCCTATGGATATTGTCTTCCCAAGAAAACAGTTTAGGTAGAATGTACGTAACTTCTTTTTTAATATTAAAATTAATCAGATCTCAGTATGACTTAAGATTGGATCAGGAAATCATTCCAATTTATTTTTAATGTGGACTTTTATTTAAAAAATACATAAGCAGATTGCCATGATTAAATTTGACAAGCTTACTTGTTCCTAAAACTGGCTAAAATACTTGACATGTTAATTTTAAATACAATTTGATGGTTCTTTTAAAAATTCTGCTTAATGTTCCTGAGAACATTACAAAGCCCACATACCATTTGTTGGAGATATGTCACTCTTATGAGATCCCCTTCTCAATGCCAGGCTGCTGCTGAGTTTGCCTGAAGAGGGAGCAAAGTTATCCATGGGAGTGTTTTCCATAGGAAAAAATGTAATACTTCCCATGTGGACATCCTATTTTGTATGCAGGAATCATCTTTGAGAGGTCAACAACCTACTAGGTTCTAATTAACCTGTTGTAAGGCCATCCCTTTCCATTCAGTTTCTGTGATTCTTGTACCTTCCCCCCCCCTCTGACTGGTAAAATAGACAGTCTTTTGGGGGGGGGGATGAAATTGGGGGAGAGAGTTACCAACCTAACGAAAGACCACTATATTAGTATTTTTATAGTTAAATAGACACTTAGACACCCATAACATTTATTCTACAGTTTGATCAATTATTCTATAAATGCTATCATTATTTCTCTCTTCCTGTCTGTGTCACATATATTAAAAAATGTTTCCCATTAACTTTAAAATGAATTGAAAAATTTTATTAGGGTAGCATCTTTATAAAGTAAACACCATTACCAGATAATATGAAAGAGGACATCTGGACTGATTTTGCCCAAGGACTAGGCAAAAGGAGCTTAGTTATGGAAAGTCACCAATGCTATTTGATGTCTCCATGTCTTATGATCAGAAAAAGACCAGTGGCTACAGGGAAAATGTACTTTATGGAGAATCTGGTGAGCAGAGCTGAATAGTGTTTTTTTATGTTTGATTACTTAGAAAGAGATAAGATTAAACTTTCCTCCTTGCAGATGTCATTTCTTCCATTTCCAGTCCTGCTCAGTATATTCATTTCCCTCTTGATGATAGCATGCCACAACTAAAAATACTTCAGCCACTGAACTTGAGATAGGAAGAGGGTTTATAGCAAGATCTATAATAAAGAAACAGTACACAGGCATGTAGTATAAAGATAAATTCAAAGCTGAAATGCTGCATTTTCATCAAATAGCATACCTTGTGTTGGTCTTCCTTTAAAATTCTGGAAATTGCATACTATCTATCAGGCTTCATTCACCCAGACCATTACTTGAATGTGAAGACAAACAAGAGAAGATTCAGGTACACAGTTCTTTGATAAACTAGTTTTATTACTGATACTATGAAAGCCTAATTAGAGCCGGAAATTGCCAACTATAAGACTCAAGCCATATCTGCTTGTCTATCTCCAGGTTCATATCTTAGATCGACTCTTATGTGCTTCAGCAGACTGAGAGCTGTTCATTTCTCTGTAGGAGGGCCAGTTGACAACTGTGCACTGTTATTGCAGCAGGCCTATCATCTTAGGTTCTTTTCATCTGACCTTATTCCTTCTCACACTCCATTGTCAGGTTAAGAAGGATTGCTTGAAAGAGGTTGGCAGCACTTTGAAGTAGAACAATGCCTTTGGCAGTAGATAATTGAATGACATCTAGATTCAGAATGATTGGAAAAGTTCTATGCAGGTTTGTGAATGTTGGTGATTTAACACTACATTGGATACATCAAAAAGCCCTATTTTCTATCCTTATTTAAGTTGCTAGAATCCAGAAACTTTGTGGGAAAGCAATGGTTCGATAGATATAAAGACATTAATTTCAATTCTGAGACTAAAAAACTAATTCCTAATCTATAGATATCCTGACACTTTTTTGTGGTGGCTATAGAATATGTATTCTCTATCTTGGATCACTATTTTGTACTGAACTCCAGTTTATATACATTATGATATTTTATCTAATTAGTATTTTTCCTCTAAAAACTCAACAAATAATGCACAACTTTGTGTGTGTGTGTATGTATGTAAATGTGTATGCATGTATGCATGCATATACATGTATTTGTGTGTGTTCGAATAGAGAGAAAGAGACCATTATACTAACAGAAGAGATGTATATCATTGTAAGCCTCAGAGAATTCAAAGATGAACAAATAAATACATACAGGATAGGACTGGAAAAGGAAGTAGTGAGAGCTGTTTAATTTCATTCCTATACAGATGATAAGCACAAAGGAAGTTTCAAATGTTTAATTTCATTCCTATACAGATGATAAGCACAAAGGAAGTTTCACATTCAAGTGATATGAAAAGAAGCTTAAAAATCATTAATGACTATGTTATTCTTAATGGTAGGTGTTGGAGCTGCTCGTGCAGGAAATCTTACCTTCATGGTCGGGGGAGTAGAGCAGGAATTTGATGCTGCAAAAGAGCTGCTCACATGTATGGGTTCCAATGTGGTCTATTGTGGAGAAGTTGGAACTGGACAGGTAAATGCAGATCATTCCTAGCCATGTTATAAGCTTTAGTGTACTCCCCATTCACATTGAATTAATGTGCTTCGTAAGCCAGATACCTTCCAAACTTATTGAAATTTATTTTCATAAGTGAAATTCTTCATTAAACTGGTAATTAATTGACATTTGTTCTATCCTCTCTCCACTTCCAGTAAGATATACTACTGTAGCCCTGTTTAAAATGCCACCCTATCTGAAGCATAGGTAAGAAAACTGAAACTTTTCTTGTGAGTTTGTAGGACTCACGTGCAAATTTCATATACAAAATGCAGTTTTGCATTTTCTTGCAGACATTTTTGTCTTTTTCAGTGTGCTGCGGGCAAGTATCACATTGTTTTTCTTTCAGTTGTATTTGTGATTTAGTTGTTTAGAAGGTAGGTATGTAGATGTGGTATTCTAGAAGTTTGATTGCAACTACTTAAATTAACCACTCAAACCCATCAAATTGTTTGTGTTAAAATTAGAGTGCAGCAACCTCTGGAGGGCTACATGTCACTCATCTGTATTCTGAATGTTAACTTATCTTAAAAATTATTTTGCTTAGATTTACTGAAAAGCACACTATTTCTAAATGAATAAAAAACAGGAAAATCCTAAAGTACTTCATAAATCAAGTTTATGCAAAGTAATTTGTCATAAGAAAAAGTCTCCGTCTTCTTCAGCAACCTGAAATAATATAAAATGAAAAATAAACCAAGTTACCAGAACAAAAATATGGAACATTACATCTAAAATGCACTCTTTCTGCCTTACTTAGTCCCTTTTATTATATACAACTGAACTCATTTCATCAAATCTCATAATATTTTCAACTCCTTGGGTTTTCAATAGGTAGGAAATTTGTACCCCAAGGCCATATGCAGCACCAAATTTGTGTGTGTGTGTGTGTGTGTATTTCCCCCTAGAATATTATCCAACTACATTGTCTAAAACCTGGTAGAAAATAAGTTCTTGTGTATGTATCTGCTTTGTGTTATCATACGACTGCTTTTATGGCTTTGTCCCCCAAAACATTTTAAACATAGTTGTAATAACCAAAGGGTATCCATCCCAACTTAGTTTATGAATACTATTTTGTTATGACTTGCTAACTCTACTTTTTTTAGGCTGGTTTGTAAATGGTTCCATCATTGAGATGGGGACGATTACAATGCTTTTGTATTCTTTGTTTAAAATTGCACCAATTGCAAATCATTTTGAACGCAGAACAGCTGTTTTTACTAGAAACTGGTACAACTGAATATTTAATTATTTGTATACTTCTGTTTGATTATGAAATGTATTACTAAACTCTAAAAACAAATGCAAGAATTAAGGATTCCAGCACTGCAGATTAGAAGAAAAATAAATTGCTTAATAGAACAGGATGAGACACGACACGACACAAATGCCTCACCTGCCCAAATAATACAAGTATTAGTGGCTTCAGTCTGCTGAAGACATATGTAGAAGGTTCTAAATTAAGATGTTTAGTAGTGATAACCCATGGAAATCTCTTGCACTGGGCAGCCCTTACAAAAAGATAATAGTTGTGGTTTCAATGAGTATTATTGGTTAATTTAAGTGACATAGAATTTTTAAAAACTACTTTGTTTTGAAAACCAGACCACATAACTTCCCCAAATCTATGAAAAGTAGCAATTGAGTGCAGGTGAGCATTTATGTGACCCCCAAAAGATTGTCAATCTGTGCTCTATAAGAGTGGTTATGGAACAAAAACGTCTATATATTATTAAAAATCTTGCTGTTATTAGCATTAACTGGGGGAAAAAAAGTCCTTCATATAGAAATAATTAGTGTACCGAAGTGCCTCAGATGGGATGACATAGATAGTTCATCCAAAATCTGTGATCCATGAGTCCTGAACAAATGAAATTTGGAAAAGTTGTGGCTGCTTCAGGCTGTTGCTACACTTGTGGGCTGGTGGTAAAATTATCTTACTAAAATAATCTTCAGTTTGGTAAAATTATCTTCATTCTGAATGTGATGGTTTCCTAGCCACTCTTGCTATCCCTTATTTCCTCCCCCATCCAACATCAACAAATAGATGCATCATGTGTCTCGTAAAAGAAGCAACAACCTTAAGGTGCCAATAGAAAATCTTGTATATTTTTATTGTTCCCTTCACAGGCACACAAACATGTACGTGTATTTATATCATATCTTTGTTCAGGAATTCAAGGCACAAATATAATGCTTCAACCTCTTACATTTCTTCATAACCCTGGGAGTAGGTTGGGCAGAAAGTCACTAAGTGAGGTGCTGTGATAAAGTAGAAACCGAATCTCTCTCTCATATCAGACAAATATAGTAGTCACTATACTTTAATCTTTGCTCATTCTGTTTCATTTTCCAACTGTTTCCTACTCTGAAATTAAATCTAAACCGACCCTTCTTTCAGGTGCTAGAGATCAGGTAGACTGGTCCTATCCCAGCCCTCAGGAGGTCATGTGATCCTATTTTTAACAGCTTCTTATAACTCAATAGAAAATCTGGCAGGGAGTCTAAACTGTTCTGGTGAGAGCAACAACATACAGCATTGTGACAGGAATATTAAATTAAAATGAAATATCAGCATAATTATGTCATGGGGAAAAAGAGGGGGACGTCATGGTCAAAAGATGACATCAAAGTTATCTTCAAGGATGTGGCAAGGAAAACGAGAAATGAAGTATGAGCATGCTGTACATTTCTAAAATCACAAGGAAGAATGAAGACACAAGAAAAGTTGAACGAAAATTTCAGCTCAAGAATATGTGGCGAACACTAATTTGCAAAAAATCTTCAATGCTACAATATCTACAATGAGCACAGCAAAATGCATGACTTGCATTATGTAATATTTCTGCTGATGTTGGTGCCATGGCCAAAATCTGTCCTCACTTTCATGCTTTCCTGGTCCCTGGACAAAAATGCCAATTTTTGTGTATTAAGGGAAAGGACAGACAATTTGTAACTTACCTAATGAACTCCTCAATTTACCTGTTGCAAACTAGTTCAAGAAAAATATCAGACAATACAACTATATCTTCCAAGTGACATCCTTTGGTGCCAATAACCCTTCTAGCAAGGAATTAATAGAATCCTTCTGTGACTATGCAATGGAAAATCCTTCTTTATATTGAACATTTAATGCCAGACCTCAATCAACAACCCAAATTTATTCATATTACTTCATGGATTCTTAAGATGGTGTAGAATTGAGAATGAGTATAGTCTATAATGATGGAATTCAACATGAAAATTTTAAATTATAGGAAGAAGAGGAGGGCAGGTGAAGAGAAGGGGAGGGAATGGGAAGGAAGGTAGGATTCCAATGGTCCCTGGCAGCTTCCCATAAAGAAGCACAGTAGGGATGTCAGTAGGATAGTGGAAGTCTTCTCCTCCCATAATTTTTTTTCCACCCTTGGATTTTCTGTTTCTCTGTCTGGGTAAGAAAATATTCCTAAAATGATGATGCATCAGAGCTTAGGTTAACTAGTTTCTAATAAAATTAGGTTCCTGATGGATCATTTTTGTAAAGTAGAGAAATTTATGAGTTATTGCATTTATTTTCAGGCTGCAAAAATCTGCAATAATATGCTGTTAGCCATCAGCATGATTGGAACTGCTGAGACCATGAATCTTGGAATCAGGTGTGTTGAATTTTACATTTGCTTTATTTTGATTACATTTAAGTGACTGGCCCTTTTATAATGGTACAATAATGTTTCAAAAATTTAGAGTAGCAAACTTAGCACAAGTTCAGTATTTAATGTTTTTTTAAAACCATTGTTAACTTAGAAATTTTAATGAACAGGGACATTCTTTGCAGGGCTACAAAATAGAAGTGTATTTTGATAGAATACTGTATTTTTTTGAATATGCTCCGAAGTATAAGTTGCACCTAGCTTTTGGGGAGGAAAACAAGAAAAAAAAACTGCCTCTGCCTTCCAGCAATTTGCCTCCTTCAGCAAACAGCCTGGTCAGCTTCAGCACAGCCTGATTTAGCACAAGCAACTGATTGTCGATTCGATCGGCCTCCCGACGATCAGCTGTTTCAGGCTGCAGAGATTGTCATTACCTATTGCCCCCTCTGTGTGCCCCTTTTCAGCCTTCGCATGCCCCATTTTCAGCCCATTCCAGATGGTGGGGATCGGAACGGGCCGAAAATGGGGCACATGAAAGCCAAAAATGGGATTTGGAAACAAAAAATGGTGTATGCGGAGGCAGCAATAGGTGATTGCTGCCTGAATCCTTGCAGCCTGAAACAGCTGATTGTCTGGAGGCAGATCCAACCAACAATCAGCTGCTTGTGCTAAATCGGGCTGTGCTGAAGCTGACAAAGCTATTTGCTGCAAGAAGGCAAATTGCTGGGAGGCAGAGGCTGAAGGATGGGGACCGAAGGGTGGGCTGGGCTTCAGAACATTCGCTGTATAAGATGCAGAAACATTTCCACCCTCTTTTTGGGTGTGTGTGTGTGTGTCTTATACACCAGAAAATATGGCATGTGTAGTAACTCCTTTTTCTTATTATCAGATGAAACATGTAGCTCTGTTTAGGTCCCATACTGTTTATTCATGTATTATAATTCATCAGGAACCAATCTTTTGAATGCAAGATCAGGGTTTAGCAGGTACCCAGTTGAGCCAAAAAACATAGCTCACAGGCCATATAGAGTCTGAACCATAGACTTAACAGACTGTACCAAAAGAAACGTGCTATAATAAGTTCTTACTCTTAAAAGCAACTTTTGGGTGTTTAATTAAAAAGTTATATTGTTGTTAAAAGGCTGGTTATATTTGAAAAAAATAATTACTTTTTCTTCATATAAATTTGTATATAGACACATAATATACATTTCAGTTTGAAATTTGTTGTTGGACATTTTGGCCCTAGTTTTTGTGTCTCTGAATTTTCACAGCATGATTTTAGTACACTTAAGTGCATCCTTTCAGCCACTTGCTAGAGACTAACACATTACCACCACTGTGAAGTCTGATACTAAAGAATAAATATCTGGTTTGGTTTTATTTGTTTGTTTGTTTGTTTATTTAAAAAGATACATGAATGTGATAAATACATGGAAACAGACATGCACCCAAAAGACAGGATAATGGATTCACATTTCTTTTTAATTACCATATCAAGATGCAGTTGTTTTATTGAATTGCCCTTGTCTCAGATGTTAGACTATCTTGACCTATTAAGTTGTCATGTTGTAATTGAGATAAAAGAGGAATTTGCTTTGCATCAGTGCTAATTGGTTTATCAATATCCTGTACCATTTACATTTTAAAATTGAGCATCTGTAAGATAGGAAAACGTATCTTTAACAAGCCATAACAAAACCCATAGATGGTTTACTGCTGCTGTAATTGAGAATTGCAAAGCTGTATCATAGTTTTAAGTCATAGTTTGCTTAATAAAAAAAATCAATCACCTATGACTTCAATGTATTTAACTGAAGTAGAAACTCATATTGTCAGCTATAAAAGAAAATGTTCAGCTAGCACAGAATACTAAAAGATCTGACAGCCTCATATGCAATCTTAATTGATGTTTGCAGCTACTGCAACATGCAGGATCTTTCTTGATTTTAATTTTCTAACTTGAGGTGTATTTTCCCTCTCCATTATCTAAATTAATGCTTTGAATTCAACAGTCTATTAAAATTCTGAATGAATTAAATGATTAATTATTCATCCCAGTGTTAGGTGACGCACATGCTATAGAACCTATCTATATCACTAGGAATCTTTTCTGAAATCTAAATTCTGCTTTCCTCAGTTATTTTCACATTGGAATTCACTTGTGTTGAAATTGTTGCAATGCCAGTGATTGTAATTTTTCTAATGTATTTCTTTTTATTACATAAAAACTTAACATCTCTAATCTATATTTCCCAGTCTACAAAACTAATCTATGTTTTCCATTCTGCAAAACTGAGTAATAGTTCTTCCAATTTATGTGCATTTTCCATGCAGTCATTGTTTTTCATTGTAAAATGCCAAATACCTCTTTTATGGTAGTGTCAGCTGAGGAGAAGCATGGATGAATTAAAGTTCAGAATTCAATAGTAGGCCTTAATGAGGAGAAAGAATGGTGTTATACAAATGATCCATGTTAGAAAAACTACTTTGATTCCGCACCTTACTCTAATTCTAAGAAAGCACTCTATGTGATAATGTTCTTTGCTAGAAAAATAGTGAAAAAAGTTTAATGTGCATTTATGCCCATGAATACCAGTAAGTTGAGCACTCACCTACTTTCTTCAAGTAGTTCAAAGCCCACTGAGAAATGAAGCCTTCTGCTATCAATTTATTTTCAGTCTGACAACTGTGTTTCTGAAGTGACAGAATTCTCCTCTAATAAAATTCATGTAGCAGTTACAATTTATAGAGCTTTCACAAGATTGAAAAAAGAAAATTGTATTTGCAAGTATGAATTTCTCTGTAGTAAATTCTTTCTGGAATGAATAAATTATCATATGACTATATTCATGTTCAGTCCTGTTTATGTCAGTAGACTGTTTAATTAAATTAGACTTTTTTAGAATCATTTTTGTTTTTTCATCTTTAATGTGTGCTTTTTTAATTTTAAAATTTGAAGAGTGTAATGTATTATTTTTGTCACTTATAAACATAACATAGCATTTATACCTTTTGTGGATATTTAGGCTCATATTTAAAACACAGTTTTAACGCATTGTGTTTTTAAAAGAAGGGAGTGATATAGTTGTCAGCATAAGATTTGCTGATGCATATAATAAATTATGGCAGCTAGTACATACTTTTAGCCTGTGAAAGTTGAAAGTTGTTGCATGAACCCATGACATGGTGAAATTTCTGTCCAATGGCAGATCCTCACAGGTCTTATATGGGAATAAGAACAGGAAGTGCTGGAAATGGAGCTAGGAGAGTATTCCTTTGAAAAGTGAAGGTTATATCCTGCAACGCTTGTTCACTACAGAACAACGTCTATTAAAAGAACAGGAGTCTTATGAATATGTCCATCATGCAACTTACAGCTTGGGACATCTCAGCGCAGTTTTAGGATGCTCTGATAGACAGAACAAAGAAAATCAGAAGTTTGTTTATGGAGAATTTGATGTATCTCCATAGAACTCGTAGGTATTTATTTTTGAATTGTTTTTTAATTTTAAAAATTAAGTTGTAAATATACACATCTTAAGATTTAATTATGTAAATACATAATTTTGTTTATCTTTATTATCCAAATGATACAATTTGAAGAAAAACTATCAGTGAAATAAAATAATTATCATCTGATGCACAGTTTTCATTTCACTGTTAATTTTGTTACTACAAAAAGATTGGGAAATGATTATGAATTTGAAACTGGGTACTAAAATTGAAATTGCTTTAAAATGGGGGGAAATGACCTCCATCAACAAGAAAATAATTGATGTGGTTATAGAGCTAGTAATTATGGTGAATTTGGCATAATAAAACAATTTAAGAAAGATTTGCTCAAAATAATTTTTCCTGCCTTCCTTTGGTGTAATAAAACACTTCATAGAGCAAAAAATTATGGTCGATGGAAAACATGGTCAATGAAGTTACCAAGATCTTAAAGTTATTAAGATTATAACAAAACAGATGAATGGGTAGATATATTTATAATTTAATAATACTATTCTCTTCAGCTATAGTGGAATGGTCTTTGAATTCTAGTAGTTCCATTTCTTTAGTTGCATTGTATACTATTTTCTTAAATCCATAATTATTAGCAACCTGTAAAGTTAAAAGAACAGTTTGATTTGCATCTGCAATGTATTCCAAGAGCACTTTGTAATTCAGGAAGTTAACAACATATTAGTAAAATCCTTATGCCTTTCAGGTTAAACAGCAAGTAATTTCTGTACTGGCAGTCTTCAACTTATGACTACAATTGAGACAAAATTTTAATCACTAAGTAATGCAATCATAACACATGATATCATATGACCACTTTGCATAACAATGGCAATCCTGGCACTCTGGATTGGTATATTAACTCTAGACATGCAGGTTGTTAACTGGAAAGTGGAAGATATCCCAGGTAAGGAACATAGGTGAACCAAGATGAGTGCTGGAGGTCCTAGGACATGCAGTGCAACCTGGGTGCAAGTTGCAGGTGTGTGGCATAAGCACATGGAGGTCAGGGAAAGAATACACAGCAGCTTGGGATCTTTTTTGGTGTGCCATGCAAGGAGCCCAGGAGTTGCAGTACCTATGACCCTATAGGCCTCAATGCTGACAGCTGGCTTGCAGCCTGGCTGAGGTGCAAAGCTCCTTCACGCTGGGAAGCATCAAAGGCTTGGGAAGCCCCAACACTTTTTCCAAATAATGTGCAGCCTTTTTGCAATTGCATGTGACTGTCTCATGAGGCTTTGTATGTTGCATCCAATTCAAGCACGTGGCCTCTGAAAGACCCAGTGTGATCAATAACTGCATCAACAAACTGCCAGACCAGGTATGCTTGGTCACCAGTTAGAGTAAAAAGGCAGTAAAGATCAGCTAAGACAGCAAGGGCCACAGAGTGCAGAAAGCTAAAAGGGTATTGATGGGGATGGAGAGAATTGATGTGCCTTTGTGTTCATTAAGTGTGGATAGCTACCAAACAGCCAGACATTTATCCCATGACCATGAAG